GATTAGGTTTACTATTTCCTATGTTTATAAAGTTAGTAACAAATTTGTGTAAAAAAATAGATGCAGCCAAAAAGCCTTCAGATTTACAGTACGATCTAGAGTAGAGTATTTATAGCATAATTCAGATTATGCTTTCCTCCAACAGCACACACTGTTTCATTTCATAAGCCTAAGTTATTTTTTAAAAAATCACAAGAGAAATTTAAGTCTTTCTTTAACACAGTCTGCATAACGTTTTAATCAGGAAATAGTGTCAATGAAAACATTCGAAACGTTAAGCATTGTCAAACGAAGCGATAACTCACTTTGACGTTCATGAAACAAAAGTTTCTCTCTTTTCCAATAATAATTTATAAATTTTTATATTCGAATAATAATATAAATTATGACAATTAATAATTAGTTATATAAGTTTAGAATCTTATAATGTTGTCAGTACACGAAATAATTAAATATCATGTTGACTATCTATAAGTGTAACCAGACATAAGAATAGTTGAATTAGTATAGTAATTTGTATAACATATACTTAATGTGTATAGCAAGTATATACTGACAGTTTTGCTAACATCGATGTCCCAATATATCGATTGCTATAACTCAAACTATGCCGATAATTTTGAATCTCTGAGTATTATCATCTTCTTCATCTTCTTCCATATTTGATACCTCAAATGCAACAGCAGTGACATCTACATCCATATTGCAACATTACGAATCTTCTTGAACACTTTCACGAAACATGCCATCGCACGCAAGAATTCTCTTTTCGCCATCACGATGCACACCAACCCCCTCCACAGGATTATCGCTAACCCTCAAAGTTCAACACCTGGTCTCGGAAGTACACTGTATATCCGTACGAAAATAAACATCGTGCAATTTCTGAAATTGCAGACGATCGTGTAGAAGATACGATTCGTTTAAAAAACATTTGCATCGAGTTCGATCGCCGAGCCAGCCGAGCGCCATCTCTCCATACGTACAGTCAATCAATCACAATTCTCACCTGTCTCGCTACCACCGGCTCTTAAAGGACGTTAGGCATGATCATTGGTATTATAAAAAATAGTATCAATAGTGGTACGTAAAATACGAAAATACACGAAATACCAACAACAATGTACAGCGTAACCGTTCGAATATCTAAAGTACTAACAGTGTAATTTACAGCGACGTTCCTGGTTATCAAAATAGTTGGAGTAACAGTTGTGAATAAAATCCGAAGCGTTCGATTAAGTCGGGCCGTCGTTGATGCCCGGACTTGCAGCGTGTATGTACAATCGAAACGAACATTGCACGATCGAGAACGTTGTTAATAGAGGATGGACTGGATGAGAGGATTCCTCCGGTGAAAATGAGCGAAGAAGCCAGTTCCTTCCTTGACTGTGCGTACACGAAACGTGTCCCACGACGATGAAACGGGTGAAGAGAGCGTTCAGATCTTGGATGAGAAGGTCGATGAGACGAGTGACGATCTCTCCGACGAGAGGTCAACGAATAAGAACGAAGGTAACGGCGTTGTGTATATAGTAACAACATAGCAACGGTATACATACGTAGTATTATACGATAAGTTATATTATGTACATAGAGACAGCAGATAGACGTTTAGTTCCACGTGTACGATATATATAATATACGTATGCTATTTATATAAATATCATATCCTTACGGTTTAGATCGTTAGCTTACAAGACGCTTAGAGTCACACTTAGTACGTATGCAGTCGCTTCTCAAGATGGCGCCGGTAGTGACTCTCGCGCGCCATCTGCCGCTCCCATATTTACCATCTTCTCCATTTTCCTTCAACGGTTATGCGCTGTTGTCGCGTTTATGCACGTTTATCCTTCACGGATTTCGTTCCTCTATCACCTCTTACCTCTAAGAACGTCACGCGATTTCATAGGCATCGCCGAGCCCACGGTAGATATGAATAAGTATTCCTCGTACGACCGTCTGTACAATTACACTTCGCGCGTTTTCGTTACATCTAGATCCCGTCTCGCCTGTATAAAAACCTTACGAAAATAGTTGCTCTATCATAAAACCCCCGCTGCTCTTACAACGTTACCATCTTACATCGGTATTACAAAGGGGTAGCATCTGACACGCGACCACGGTGAAATCCTGTGTCGTTTTCGATCCCGTGTCCAACATTCTTCGTTGATCGTCGTTGGTTCAGCCTGACCTGGATGGATCATTTCATGTCACTGATCCTCCAGTCCTTGCGCGTGTCGGGTTCCTCGCGTAGGAGAACAATCGATAGCTGATCGATGGAGGTATCCTCTGGCAACGAGGAAAGGTGCTACGTGAATGCCCGGTGAAAGTCTCGTAGAAGACCAACGAAACCCTCGCTGGAACTCGTCAGAGGGGAACAAACGCTCGTGGAAAATGGACATCGATCGTTTACAGTCGAACTCGAAGTCCTCTCTGTGACGAGATTCGACTGTTCCTCTTTTGCTTCCAATTTTTCAAACGAAATCATCGCGAGAGCTCTATTTAGAATTAGGTCTAGGTATTTAAGGATTTAGAACTTGCAGGATCTTTAGACGATAGTGATAGTGTTGTTTCTCAATTCGGACCTGGGTATAGGTCTATCTAAGACTCGAGTGAGTAACAGGGCCACTAGACATCCTCTCAGACCTAGACCTAGGTCTACATAGGGTACGAGAGATCAAGCGTTGCTTATAGACCTAATCCTAGACCTAGATCTATCTAGGACTGAAGGGATCATCGAGTGACCATAACAGTTTCGTTTAGACCTAGACCTAGGTCTAACCAAGTGAACACAAATAATTCCCAAATTTAATCAAGATTTAAGAAATCACCTGTTCCATCGTGTCCACGACGCTGTTTCTCGCTGACGAGCCAGACCGAGGCAAGGTTAACGGACAAATATGCGTGTATAACTCCTCTACGATAGGATTGGAGAGATGGAGCTCTAAAAAAATACGAACACGTGCCCGCGGTGAAGAATCAAAGACGAGCGTGTTATCTCACCGTAATGAATCCTGATCACGATGTAAATGGAATGAGAATGGCGTTCTCGTCGTGGAGCATTTGCCGCGGGCACGTAGCATGGTCTCTGTACTAGCTCTAGACGGGAGCTGTCCTCCCGGAGCGTAAAAGGTCGTTATTGTCGCCAGTGACCGCGTTAATTCGTCGCACACGTAATCGACCGAGGATAATTCGTGACAAAAGGGGGAGGGGGGCGAGTCGGTCACTCCCGTCTTTCTCTGGGTCGCTGTCGGCCAGACAGAGGGATGGAGAAGGTTAGAGGAACGGGTCGAATCTTGGATCGGGGCAGGCCAGAATAGGAGACGGAAGGTTGCAGGCAACGTTGATAACGCGGCAAAGACGAAAGCGTGTTGATCGTTGATCGGTTGGATCAAGTCGATCGATGCAATGATGCCCGTTCCGCGCACTCTGTTCACTGTTCTGGTCGGTGCGCGCGAACTGGGTCCGTTTAAATAACCTCTTAGTCCCCGCGCGTTGACACGCGTGACAGGCGTGTTTATCAGTGTACGTATGGCACCATAAGAAGTCCCAAAAAACGACTAGATCGTCTAACGTTCCGATAAGAAAATATATATATGTGTATGTATGTGTATATATATATATTATACTTGTTGGAGCCGACCGTGCTACGAATAAGTACAAGTAGTGTATATAGGTAGTAATCTGCTTCTCTCGCATGCGGAGGTAGTGTTGAATCGAAATTCGATCTCTCTCTCTCTCTCTCCATCTTTGTCCCGCTCCTACATCCTCTTTCTATCTCTGTTCCTCCAAACTTCGTTTCTCTATTCCCCTTCTTTCATTCTCGCCCTCTCGCTCACCCTATCTCTCTGTCCCTATCTCGATCGCTCACGTTCATGCTATGCCAGTAATATGTAAGGTAACGTTAGGTGTTATGCAATTAGTGTCACTTAAATCGCAGCATGCAATGCACGGATAAATTTCTGTGTTACGTAGCCTAAGGACCTATGAGTAAATTCGTCGGGCCGAGCCGACGGTGCGCGTAGTTTCGGCTGTTTTCGGCCATTCTTGTCAAGCAAACGACAAGTACAATTACAAATGGACCACCAAGTTCCAGAAGGATCGTTCGATCGGCCAACCAGCGACACGCGATCGCTGCTCGGGTACTCTTTGAGGTTACCACACGTGAACGGCGTGTCGCCCTATCAGCCGTTCTCTCAGGATTAATTGTATTCGCGAGTCACACTGGCCAGTATCACGGGCAAACCGATTGTGTCCCGTGTCGGTGTATAGCTGCGTGTATGCATACACCGTCGAGAGACACGCAACGTGTGCTCCCTCTCTTGCCATGCTCACGCAACTCCAGTAGCCCTCCCGCAGCCCCTCTACACCCCGCTGTCACGTATCCGGCTAATTAGAAGCTGACAACTCGGTCCCTTCGTTCGTGGGTTCCTTAGAAATCTAGAAAGGTGCTCGTGAAAAATGTGAAAGTAGTATCCTTCGAAGTATCCGAGCACCTGGACACTCGATACTCGATGTTCCTCCCGAACCTGCTCTCGATTCTCCCTTTCTTCCCCTCTCAAACGCGAGTTCTCAACGAGTATCCCCGTGTCCTGCCCGGATACCTCGGAGCAAGGGATCCGTGACAACGGCAGTCGGGGAACCGCTGGAAAATCCACGTTCCTAGCATATTTCGATGAAACACGATGCACGTTCGCGAGGATACAAAACGACCGATCGGAGAAACGTTGTTTCCCTACGTCGACAAGGGGACAGCGACGATGGCGGATGAAGAACCGAAAGGTGAAGAGAAATGTAAAAAGAGACGACCGAGTGACTGGTTTAGCGAGTGAACAAAGTGCTTCCATGGTTGAACTCCGTAATCGGCGACTTCCGATCCGAGTGACAATCGGTACGATCACGCGTGACCCAGAATCTCGGACCGGCTCACTATGAAGCCCGTTCCGGGCAGCCAGCCTCGGAATACCCGAACATGAAATCTCCACGCGGTGCTTGCCAATTTAGACGCCAGTGTGGTTGAATATATAGGACACGTTGCTCTCCTGGTGCACCGGTGGTCCATGGAATGGTCGTCTGGTCGACGAGTTGTTGTTGTTGTTGTTCACGTAGTAGGAGGACTTCCTCATGCTCGTCGACGACGACATCATGGCCACCGTCTCGTAGTACCTGATCTTGCCGCAGCAGCGCCCGCTCTTGAGAATCGCCACGAAGCCACGGCGGTATTTCTTGTTGAAGAAAGCGTACAGGATCGGATTGATGCAGGAATTACTGGCGCCCAGCCATTGGGCGATCGGCGTGGCGATAGGCAGGATCTCGTCCTCTCTGTCGGCTACGTCACCGCCGAGCTTGATCACAGTGAAGATCACGTAGAGAGGCAGCCATGACAGCACGAACAGTATCACCACGACCACCAGCATCTTCACGACCTTAACCTTCGATTTCTGTTGTATCCTTTCCATCTGAGCATCTTTCGTGTCCGATGGTATATGGCGTCGCCAGACTTTGATCCAGATGAGGATGTAGCAGAGCGAGATGAGTATCGTGGGAAGGACATAGCAGAGAGTGAGATTGCCGATCAGGAAGAACAGAGTGCCATCTTCCGGGTGGGGCCACACCTCCAGGCACAGCCGTAAGTCTGGATCGTCGTCATAGATGGCGACTAGGTCGAAGAACAGCAGCCACGGAGAGGTCGTTGTCAGAGCGATGAACCAGATCACCACTATCATCATGCGAGCTCGTCTCTTCGTTATTTGGCATTTCAGCGGCCACCAGATTGCCAAGAACCTGTGGACAGACGGGTCGATGTTAGTTTACGATTAAAATGGGTTTCGTGTGTCATGAAACACTTTGGACCAAAGTCTCGGTGCTTTACTTTCATCGCGTTACACAATCCCCATCATTGAGGTTATGTAACGCGTGGCTTTTGAATTCGAGAGTCCATCAACCATCGATATAAGTATACCCATGGTATATATTGGAATTTTAAATAAACAACGGCGCAGGAAGTAATTTAAGCAACCTTTATCACTGTCTATAGTACATTTCAATTTTCTAACCTATTCTCAATAGTCGATCGTGTGTTTCTAATTAGAAAATTTGTTGCTTTCCATTGTTTTGTTTCTCGTTTTCCATTGGAAATGCAAAATTTTATAAATTGTTCACTAAATTGAGATGTACGTGAGTTTCTAATTGCCAGTGAGAACAATTAGTATATAAAATGCAGTATAGAGTTTATCCACTCGACTTTAGCGATTAATAGAGTGTGATAAGCGTTAAGGGGAATTCTCAAGCGATTGTATCGAAGCAGGCTGATTGATCCACGCTGCATTTTTCGTTCGGAGTTCGTTTCATCGTTCAACCAAGAATCGAGAATTCTTGGAACGTTATTGAATCCAACCACGGTAAAGTACATTCGATATTTTTTCCCAAAGCCTCTGTCCCGTGTCTAATCCAACCTTATATCAAATCCCTTTCCTTATTTTAACCCTACCTGCGAAACTTCTTCAACTTTTCAATTTCCAGGACGTTCGATTATTTATTTCCATTTTAATTATTTCCATCTGCATATTACTTATACCTTATTCACCTACACAATTATGGATTCCTTTTATAGCTTTCTGTATCCAAAATCTGTCAACGTTAATTATCTTTCCATATTTGGTAGTCCTGATGTTAAAATCTGAGACACCTTGTATACACACGATGAATTCAGAAGAAAGATTTAAGTAACTAGTCAATCTATCACCTCTAATTGGTCAATTATCTATATTCATGTTATCCATTACTTCTTAGCTATACTAATCCATAAAATACCCACTCCAAATATATCCTTTCTCTACACTTTAATATTCCAGATTAAATTCCTCTGTCTCCCCTGTCCAAATTATCAATTGATCTCAACCTTCATTCTCAAAAGTCCCTATACACCTAGAAAGTCCCTAGTCTAGGAACTATGTACCCTATAAAACCCAGTGTTTTCCATACATGGAATAAAGAAAATAGATGCATGTCACACGATGTAACTGAATTTCCCAATATTCCATAGCCCAAGTTCTCCATCGTTCGCCATAAAACTTGACACTCACGACACCTGGCAAACACAGACCCACGTACACAGACGCGCGAGCCTTTGCAGCCAGTCTACCGCCTCTAATCGTTATTTCGAAAAGTCGAACAATCCTATCTGCACGGTATCCATTAGCATAGATACGTTCTCAGCGATTCAGGCCTGTACGGGCCTTAACGACGCTCGGGCACGGCCAACTTCGTGATTGTTTATCAATCACGAGGGATCGTGGAGGCTTTACGATGCCCGTGCACGGGGTTACACCTACGCAGCAGCGGTGTTGTGCGGCACAAAACTTAACCGCTCATTTTTCTGCCGCCATTATGGAAATCTATATTCTATTCGCGGTTTCGAAAGACTCTCGTGTCCGTTACGCTCCGACGGTCGCCAGGCGCTGCGTAAGAATAGGTACGTATAGCAAAGCGCGTTTGCGATGCAATGGCAATTCAACATTCCCGTATCGCGGTATGCGAAACGAGTCTTGCTCCGATAAGCTGTCGTTCGGAGGGAATTTATTGAGCAACCGTGGTCGAACTCCGTAGATTCGACGAGGAATTTCGAACCCGGAAGTACCATCGTTGAGATCGGGACCTTCGTTTGCTGCGTGTTTGGACCTTGCGTCGTGGTTTCAGAGGATCTTTGGGTTGAGAAGATCCTGGGAATGTTGAAACAGAGTCCTGTTGGACGTGAAATCTCGGATGTAATATCAGTGTCTCTACGTGTGATATAAGAGCGTATTATAAGAGCTAATCGTGTCTCTCGTTGCCTCTAGTTGTAACCTTGATTCCTGGAAAGGGGAGAAATAAGCTGTGAAAATATTCCTTCCAGGATATACCTCTGCTAGTCGATCTTCTCATGATCCAAAATGTTTTTATTGATTGAGTATAGTCCTCAGAGTCTATTTATTTATCCCCTAATATCAAACACCTGTGCTAGCCGATCTTCTCATGATCCAAAATGTTTTTATTCATTGAGTATAGTCCTCAGAGTCTATTTCTTTATCCCCTAGTATCAAACATTTGTCATTCAGTCTTGAACCTTCATCCCTCTGTCTCGAATAATTATTCACTCAGAAAAATCTTAGTCACATCTAGCCTCGTCATAGGTAAAAATATCGTCAGTACAGACCTCGTTAATCATTCTTCATAACCACTATCCAAAGTGGCCAAACCCCGTTCCAGTTTCTGTCTCAGATATTTACACAGTAGTCATCCATTTTCAGTGTAATAAAGACGCCAATGTAATCAGAAAGTCTTGGAAAAACATCCTTGTTCCTTAACCTCGAAGCTACTGCAGATAGCAGTGAAATAGCTGGTCAAATTATTGATTATGTTTGGTGAAACTGGAGATACAATTGGTCATGATGTGAATCGACATGAAAAATTAAATCAAAAGTGTACAATAGAATAGAGTATTTTTAAACGAGGTTTCGTTTCTGAGAAAATTAATTTTCCTAACCATACCTCGTTGAAATTTGTGATTATCGTATTGCATAATTAGAAATAAAATTTCTCGTAAGCTTTGAAAGAAAAATCTCGTGTCGAAGGAAAACAATGATAAATAACAGTGAATTTGTAAAGACAGTAGTTTCATTAATTTTCCTATTTTTACAGATAAAAGTAGAAGCAAATAATTCAATGCAGATTGCATTATTACAAGGCATAAATAATCAGCACTATAATATACACTATAATTCCATTTATGACACAAATATTATATTCCCAGCTCATAATGCAACAAAAATTCGTACAAAAACCATGTTATAGGTCATCAAGAAGATTATCAGAGAAGGTGAGACTACTATATTATATTACATAGTTATTTAGTTAATTAATTTTAATTGATAATTAATTTAATTAATTGAATTAATTTATATAGTTAATTAATATTAAATTTCTTCCATTTATTAATTACTGATCTCCATTCGCTAGGAACATCCGATAATCGTCAGTGAATATCGTCGATGATCAGAACGAATGATAAGTCCACCTCGAAGGACCTCGCTCTCTCTGTCTTTGTTTTTAACCAAGGATCACAGTCGCGTCCTTCGATCGAAAGACTACTTTTTGCTGTCGACGTTGAAGAGTCCTTCCATAAATCAACGCATTGCGATAACGATCTATCGAACGTTCTCATCGACTTCTCTACTTCCGAGGTGACCCTCCTCGTTCCTCCCTCTGTCAGGTGAGATTTGCAATATGTACAATGCAAAAGTGGTGATCAGTCTCTGTCTGCGTGTCACATAGGAGGAAAGACGCGGAAGATGGAAAAAATTGCTCGATTCGCGGATCCGGATTATCGAGTAACGAGGAAGGTCGAAGAGGATCGAGTGGGGTGGACAATGAAGATGACACAGCTTTCGGCACGTGTATATAAAGAGTTCGATTTCCGTGGAGCTAACAACAGTATCGACCCGAGTTCCTTTCGTGTTTGCCAACGGAAAAGCCGATAAAACGTTTAACATGTTCAAACTGGCAAGTATATCCATCATATATGCGCTTAGTTACGCGTGCAGGGGTGGGTGAGTATAGCTGTTTGTCACAGTCGAGGTACTTAACTCGGTGATTTTGTTCGCGAAATATGGCAATCGTGGTTTGAAGAATATGGAAAACTGAATTTTTCGGTTGGGTAATGTTGCACGGAAAGGATAGAATTATGTAATGTAAAATAAAATGCAGAATACAGAATATAAAATATAAAATGTGAAATACAAAATAAAATAAGAGTTACGTGAAATAAGAATTACAAAATATGGAATATAAAATGTAAAATATAAATAAGAGTGGATTAGATAGGTATAAATGTTTGGTATAATTTTCACGTGCTTGTTATAAATTCTGCATTCATTTTACACGTGACAATATATTACGGTGACTGAAATCGAGAAAAATATCTCATCATGGAAGGCATTTGATTAAAAATTTTTAATTGCATCCAGCGTCAATTTCGACTGTATTGAATCGTTAGAGCTTTTGCAAGGATCTCAATTAATTTCTTTCATTGTATAACACAATATTGTATAACATAACATAACAACAATGTATGACACAAGTCTGTGTATAATGTTTCGAAATAACTATATTTTGGTTACTTTCAACGTGAACAATTATTATTCTTAGAATTTACTATTTTATTTATAAAAAAGATCGACATGGTATTCGAAATCTTGGATTAAAACGTATTGGGAGATTCGTAAGTGGTGAGGAAGATGATACAAGGAACCAAGTGAAAGTGGATGGTTTAATGTCAGACATAGTCAGAGTACATTGAAACTGAAGGATGTCTGATGATTGATTGACGAAATTTATAATAATTATAATTAAATATGAGAATATTTTAATTACCAATTTTTTGTCTCTTTTTTTAGAAATAATATTAATATATTCTTTTATATATTTTATATATTTTTTAAATCATTCTACTAATTTCAAAACTATTCCTGAATTAAAAATATTACCAAAAATTTGAATTTCAAATTACTGAATTTCAAATTTTATTTCTCTATACAATATTATAAAATTCATTCATGAAGAAATGGGATAAAATATTAAAATATTAAATTATTTATATCGCTATAACTCAACTTATAATCATAATTTAATTAAAAATCTTATGTAATGTTATGTAATATAATTATAATACATAATATCAATCATTTTAGCACTATAATTCGATAATTAAATTTCGTATTGATCTTGTAAAACAAGTAATTTCCATGATTGCCCATGGGATTCGATTTTTTAACCACATATGGTTTTAATTACTGGTCGACACAAGTACGACGTTTAACATTATTTTGCCAGTGAAACAAAATCGCAATTAAGAGTAAACTCTCGAGTGCGTTCCATTCCAAACTTTCACAATTAGCAGCAATTCGATTTGCATAGAATCTGAATCGCGATTGATCATTTGACACGGGACCGTTTCAACGATCAGTCGTATTCAAAGGCAAACACCATGTTAACGCGTATCGATACACGTGTGTGTCTGCACGGAATAATTAATGAGATACGTAACCGTACTATGATCGTGTTAAACCGCGCCATAATCGCGTTATATTCATTTGTAATACGCTTGCTACCTGTATAAGAAAATTTCACGCTTCTGACTTCTGATTTAATACGAAGCGTAATTTAAAAATTCATGCTCACTTTAAATTTACTTATATTGAAATATGGAATGTTTGAAAGTTTTTGTATTTAACTCAGTTTCCTTATACCTTCAATTAATTATGGCGATGAAAGCAGAAATTTTATCGCAATACTTCTGTGGATTATTTTTATTTTAATTCCTTTCCAACGTTTTCTTTTTATTCTTTAATTATGCAGTTATATGGTAAGAATAATTTTCTATTATTGCGAGTAAATAAAAAAATATTATACACTTGTGGAAATTAAATTTGTATCTTTTGGAACGATAATAAATACTATACAGAGGTATACTAATATACAGCATAATCGTTTCGTATCTTTTTTATTAAAATTTTCGTTTGAAAATTTTGTATGCAAATAATTTTACTATAATTATTTTCTTTTATTTATCAGTGTATAAATACCTTTAACATAATTAACAATTTTCAAACTGCATTTTCTTATTCACTTAAATAAATATCTTCCTGCTAAATGAAGTTTCCCTGTTTATCAAATAAACATCTAAATCTATAAAAAAATACGAAAATTGGAATAAAAAGTCTATGAATTAATTATATTTAATAATCTATGAATTAATTATTAATTATATTTAATTTCTGGAAGTTGATATTATTATTACAATTAATAAATTAATATAAATTTAAATTCTGGCAGGTGATATTATTATTACAATTATTAATATTATTAAATTTTCTTTTAAATATTCAATTTACCTAAAGAATCGTCACTATGTTTTTAACGAACTAATAAATTAGGCGTATTTTATTTCTGCGAGGGAAATCGATAGTTCTATATCTTCCTCGTTAAAGATAGTTTTATTTACCCATTCGATTGTACAGCACACATCCATTGCATGGTAAACATTAAGGACGCAAATAGTAGTCTGCTTAATGCAAGCACTTCTGCAAATCTTCCACTAGCTTGGCCATTCTTAATGGAATAATCAATAGCTAGGTACCACTCATCTAGCAGATACTTGAAAACTGTCAACTAAAAACGAATTTTAAACTGTATTAATGAAACACTATATTCACTATACAAAGTATTGATTCCTAACATACGCGTATTTGCAATGCTATGAAGCACTGAATATACTTGAATATCAATTTATGCATACACGAACAATTCATATCCATATGTATACTATATTCCATATATATTCATATATATATATTTAAAATATGTAATATAAATAAAATTATAATAAAATTATAATATTATATAATATATCTAAAAATATCGACAGAGTATGAATCGAGTATAAACACATTCACGATGTATTTTTAATCACATTTTTATCAGTAATAACTTGAGAATAAAATAAATAAGATAGTTTGAGTCAAGAACATTTTCGGTAATCGACATATCAGAATAAACTGTAACGAGAGAGACATTGGTGACCGTTGCCACAATATAATATAACAGACAGTCCCCAACAATAATTATTTCATCGCTAATAACCATACAGTTGATGATACATTAATCCTCAATGAAAAGAATTATTAAAAAAGATTTATTAATAACATATAATTTCTATTTTCCAACAGATCTTCTTATTTGCTATGATCGTCTTGGCAGTGTCCGCTGCACCAGCACCAGCACCAGTGCCACCACTGTACCCATACATACTGGGCTATCCGCAAGACCCCTACGTCAAGGTGATAACTCTCGATCGCCCTCTGCCTGTCTTCGACAACTACAAAAAGTGGTACACAATCTACCATTAGCAACAGAAACAACCCAGACTCCTCTCCGATCGATGATCTTCACCCTAGAACCCAGCTACCAGAGTAACAGAAGACCAGCAATGATTTTGTACCCCTCAAAATAAAATGGCGTTTAAAGTAAAGACACATGGTAGCCGCAACAACGACTGCAGTCGAATCGAACACGTTTCCCTTTGCCACCTAACATCTCGTTCGCTGGTTGTCTTTTATGCCGGCTGTAAAATTCGCGAGGCAGTTGGCAAGTATCCCTGGATTCCTATCCAGGGAAGCTATCGCGAGCGATGAAAACGCGAAGAGTCAGAGCGTTTACTGCAGCAGGGTGGAAGATCCTTCGCTGGGTCTATGACTCGCGATATGTTTATGGAGGATACTCGTAAAACTCGTACAGAAGATACTCTAGGGCCAGGTTCGTGGCAGATCAAGATGGGGACACGCATGGCCAAGCAGCGCCGCTCGCTGCGCCATCTGCCCAGCCCCATCTACTGGCCTGCGCCAGGAAGCTCAACACGAGATATCGTTACACGTGTCTCGTATCCTCATAGCGAGATTCGAGACCACGATTCACGGGGTGAACGAACGAGATCGTAGATACCGCGAATACACGAAACTGGTGTGAGCTAGGATTTCTTTCAGCAGCAGACATCATAAGAAGTGTCGCCTAGTCGCGAAAGGATCAGTTGATAAAGAACTTGGGATCACGGTTGTAGAAAAATCGAACCACCTGGATTTTTTAAATAAAATTTTATTAAAATTCCATATGACCAAAGGGGAGGGGTCCTGGATGATGGTGCAATGATCGAGATGCGAAGGTCCGAATTACCGAATTGATGATCTCAGAGCCGCGAATGGGTCTCCGAAAGGAAAGAGACCAGCCGATTCCGACGCGATCCATGGATCGTGTCGATCGCGTCACGAACGTTCCCGGGCGTCCCGATGCCGGGATGAGCGGGAAAATCGAAATGGTAGCTTGTCTAGTTCTCGTTAATCCGCTTTTTACAGCTGTTCTTCTCGTTCCATCCTCGAGCTGTGATCGATCCTTCCCTTCGTGCTCCTTCAATTTCTTTTCTTCTTATATCTTCATTTTTTTGTTGTTTTTTCGGGTGGGGACGATTTACGAGGAATTAAGAGGGGCGTGTGTATGCGTGTGTGTGTTTTCTAGGTGGAGGGAGTGGGTGGTGGGGGGGCTGTCTCGTCGTGACTTGGTGGTGGTAAGATAGAATCAGCTGTTATCTAATGCAAGCCATGAGCTGCAAGGAGGGGTAGGGGAGCGGCGGTCAGGACAGACTTGGTGACGATGGGAGCGGTACGGACGATGGGAGCGACGGGCTGGGCGATCACGTGGGCAGCTGGCAGGGCCGCGGCGTGGCTGAGAACCACTGGAGCCGTGATTGGGCCGATCCCGTGGTCAGCGACGATGCCGGTGAGACCACCAGGGGCAGCGGTAGCGACAGCCAAAATGGCGGCGAGGACAGCCTGTGGGAAAACAGCACGTGCGATTCTTAACTCACCCTTCTACTCAGACCCTCGGTAGACCGTCTTCGGTCATCCCGTTCGCGCTTGCTTATCTCTTCCTCCTAGCTAATCGTCGCTCAAGGTGCACTCGTGTATCTAATTCGCGAGACAATGTCGGTCCGATGGTCTAGCTAGAGAACGTCTCGTGAGATTTTCTCACGAGCAGAGTTAAGCTGACGGCGATTACGGCGTAAACGGAGCGGACGCTTTGATCGCGTTAATACAAATTCAAGACCCGTATTTGTTTACTGCAGTCCTTGGAACAGGAGCTGGTGCGAAGGCTATCCAAAGGGGAAGGACGGTTTTACGAGACAACTCTTGCTCTGTTTCTGCTTCCAGGGAAGGCTAGAGGAAGAATTGTTTCGGATAAATGTGGTGCTTCCTCAGACGGATAATTCAGATTGATCGGTTTTTAGAGATTCTTTAGGGACCGATTAGGTGAAATTGGAGATAATTATGCTACGATTGGAACCTTGAAGTGTTATATTGATATAACACTTTATTTATAGATTTGTGAAAAGAATCGACTATGGAATATTTATAAGGTACTTCAAATTATAAGGAAGGAAAATTCGTTTGGAGGTTAGGATTTGAGAATGTTAATTATACTAAAAAGTTCAGAAGAGTGACAGAAATGTAGTTAACCATTACAAAATTATTTACTCGCAAATATAAAATCCGTATTATTTCGTACTACTGTATGCCAAAAAGGTTAATAACGAAAGTTAATAGTTCTAGCATATCACAGATACACCTAAACCGAATCAATTCCAATACAGTTTTACTACCCCTATAGAATCTACCTAACCCTCATCGCAAAATGAATCTACCGAGAAAGTTAATTCAGAAATTAAAAGTCTATACTATTTCACGCGTTCAGTAAAATGAATCTCACGAAATTTCTACACCAATATTCCAAATTTACCCATCTCCAACAAATAATCCGAATATAACCTACAATTCAAATGTATGAAATATAACCTAAGTTATCTGAAATATAATTTACCAATCAAGAACCTAGCCTAGGAAGGAAACACTATTCGAAATTCGCAAAAATCGGGGCACATCAAACCTAACCTAAAACAGCGTGAGCTGTTAATCGTACGATGCACTCCTGATGCTCGCACCGCCATCTTGCGTCACGACGCAACGACTGATACGCAACGGGAGTGACGTAAAGGAAGTGTCGCGAGTGGCACGCGACCATCGAGCACGCGAGATCGTTGGAAAGCGAGTGTCCGTGGGCCGCATTCCATTTTGTCCGGCTGCGTTCGAATCGTATTGGCTAACAGTATGCATGGTCGAATGGTTTCGCTCGCTCGCGTAGATTTTTGTGACCGGACGGAAACGTCGGTGTCCGTTCCGAGTGAACGTACACCACGAGCATGTTGCACCGCGGAAAGGTCACGGTGCGATACTTCTCGCGTTCGCCGCGGGAACTAGCCGAGTCTTTATCGATCAAAGAAGACCGTGGTGAACGGAGGAATTTTCCTCTATTCGAATCCTTTACGCGCCGCGTAATCCCGTCTGGGTCGATCAAAAGTCACCAATTGTCATGGAGCTTAGTCGAAAGTTAGAGGAGCACGAGAGAGAAGCACGAGAGAAACTCGCAGGGTGCTGGTTAGGTTAGGTCTACGGGTGTCGAGAACCTACTCCGGTTATACCAGGAGTATGCTATGGGGTCAATGAAATTATGTGTATATAGGGTGCACGAAAGCCATGGGCTTGTCGGTGAAGCAAGTCTGGCACGCTTGGTACCACGATCACGTTCGAGAACAGCGGGCTAACCGGCTCTGAACTTGCCCTCTAGAGTCTGGGGAACTATGCGTCTCGGGACATGTCTCCGGTCTAAGTGTCTGCGTATAAAGTAGGCTGTCTCGAGTGAAATCGTTGTTGTAGAACAGTTGGTCGATCGTTCGCGAAATATCTGGCAGAGCTGAAGCGCAATAGGAACGGAACGAGTAGAAGCAAATATGATATTCCTCTTACCAACTTGAACATGTTGATTGGGTTGTGGGTTGCTTGTTTACTTCTTGAAAGTAGCTAAGCTTATGCTGGATGAACAGGCTGCCGGGCCTTTTATACAAAAGTTGATTTTAAAAAATCGCTATAAATTTGATCACGTGGCCCGCCGTTCGACAGTCTGACGTTATGCGACGGCCTGTTGAGTCAGCCGGTCGTGTCCCCGGAGTGGGGTGCCGTTCGGCCAATACGGTCGCCGTATCGGCTGCAAACGACAAGAAGGCGGCCAATCGCGCGCTTTCAACCCCTCGCGATCGGTTGCAGGGAATTGGGTTAAGACACATTATGTGGAAACAGTTCGATCGCCTGCGTAATGATGCAGAGGTGTGGGTGAGCCGCACACAACGCCGGTTCGGGGTAAGTGCAGAGACGCGAGGCATGAAAACGAAGCGAAGGCTCACGCTCTAAATGCAAAATCATTTCGTAAAAAAGGAACGCAGCCAAGGTCTTCTTCTGGACGCTTTGTTTAGATTTATCGAGCAGAGGAGAGTCTCTGAGGAGACTGAGGAATCCGAGATTCTTCGAGATTGTTGCAGAGGCGTATAATGACTGTCGATTGCCTATTTCCTTTTATTATTATTATCATTTCTTTTCGCGATAGAATTTATATATTATAACAAAAATATTAGTAAAAATTATATTATAATAAAAATTTAGATGGGTTTTCGCTATTTTTAGTTATGTGTGATTTGTTTATATGAAATATGGTGTGTGACTTGTATATTCATATGTGTGTGTTGGTATATGTATACCTTAGTTAGGTATGATTACGTTGGAATAACAGTTGAGTGGCTATCTTTTTATTGTTATTGTTTTTTTAAATTTTATATAAAAATACAAGGGTTATTGGGTATTTAATATAGTAAGATATTAAATATAATAAGTATTGTTTATATATAGTGTATGTTAGTATTGGTTAGATTGGCTATTTTTTTTTATGGTGGTTGACCTATGTTAGGTGGTTCGTTTTGTGATAAATAACAAAATGGTGGAATTTGGATGAGCTTTTATTTATGTTTATATGTCATACCTTGTTTTATTTATATAAAATTCTATTTATGTACATATGTTGATGTAATATATTGTTAAGTGTATACTAGTTACCTAGCATAGTATTCTATTATATTTTCTATCTATGGATTCACTGTATTTGGCAAGTAGATTGAAGAATAAGATATTTAAATGCTCCTACAGAAAGAAAATCGTTCGAACCGATTCCCCTGCTTAAATTTAATAATACTTCGTCGTTTGTCACCCTCCGTTTTCCATCTTCGTATTCCCTTTATCTCAGAATTGGTATTTTCTTCTGACTCACGACTATATTTTAATATCATTCGCAGACAGTCTGGGCAAGTGTCTATATTAATTCGCATAACCCAAGCAAACCTCTCTCGCAGATAAATGTATTCAATTTGTATCTACCTAATTCCATAGAATAATCAGAATTAATTTAATTCGTATTCACTTAATTCTATAAAATAATAGAAATATATTTTATTCCGTAGAACGAAATCAATTTACTGGAAGAAAATGTGACTGTATGTAAAATCTAAATCTATCTATCGAAGTGAATTAAAATTGATCACAATTAATCACATATAAGTTCAGCAAGAAACTGTGTAATGACAACTTAAACGATTTCCTATTTGAATAACTGCATTAAATAATCCGCACGTGTAGGCACGAGTACACTCATGGTCAGTCAACAACGTGTCAAAATAGAATTGGAATCTTCGTCAAGGGAATAGAGCCGTGAATCCTTTGGATCGTTTGTGCGAGCGATCCCTTCTCGGATTTCACGACGAACCAAGGGAAAAGCTGGACGAAACCCGAGCCAAGAAGATCGATCGATCCAACGCTGGGGGGTGAAAACGCGATTAATAATCCGATTTTGTGGACGATTGTAACCACTTGAGAGAATCGTTTGGTTAATGGAAGCAGTGGGGAAAGTCGACCGTTCTTTTTATCTCTGTCTTAATTATATCAATGGTGGTTAGTGAAGGGTACTTTGAATCACATCGTGGTCACCTTGGCTTTGGAGTTACGGATTAGAGTTGCATGGGTTCTTCTGAAGATCCAGCGAAGAAATTATTTCGCTTGACACTGTACAATTAATTCAGGCTCGGTAGAGTATAGAATATTATTTGTAGAATATAAATTATGTTATAAAATATTATAGAATATTTAAATCTTATAGAATATTATAGAATATTTAAATACAGGCATCTTAATATTTTTAACATAGCTCAGATATATTCATGCAAAGTTTTTATTAAATATTTACATAAATAGAATATGTGAATGGATTTGAAATAAATTTTATTATTGTTAATATTCTTTCATACTGAATCAGTAAAATTCTGACGTGCAATTAAATTCAGAATATTCATTAAATTAGAATTATCAGAATTTTTCAGGCCAGAAACAAAGCGAATAATTAAAACATAGAAAAATAGAAAATGTGGCATTGTATTATATGTAGATTGGAATGATTTCTCAAATGATAATTCAGCTTCACAATATGAGACGTATTATATAAAATACATTATACTTCACAAAGAAAGGAAAAATTGAATTATAACATAATTAATATACAAATGTATAAATAAAAATTCCTGTATAATTCTTCTATCACAAATTAAAGTATTTATAAGCAGTACATAGGGGTAATATTGACATCCGAAATAAAATTTTTAAAAATTACTAATATAATAAAAATAAATTTATTATAGTATAATTATATTTTTTCCAAAATTATTGAGTATATAAATATATTATAATATATTATAATACACTATAAAATGTACATATCACAGATAAATGAAGAAATGAAATATGAAATGGATGTAACGTAAAACAAATTACAATCTCAATATTATTACAATTGACAAACAATGATAAATGGTGATACAAGAAATAAATCTATGTGTCACAGTTTAAGCGTATCGAAGGTGATGGGAGAAAAAGCACAGTTCCTTAGCCTACGGAATTCGAGATAAGAAACTAGGGGATAGTTAGGCGGGATTGCTTAATCATCAGAATTTCCACTCAAAAAACTGATCTTTCACGGTCACTTAGAACCGCGAAGTCACTTAATTCGTGACATGACGCAAATCCCACTTCACAGTAATGCGTACAACGTGTTACCTGATACAAGGTCTAACGCTGTCTAAAGGAAAGTATTTCCGATCAAAACGCGTCGTGTCCAATAATACGTTCCAATTTCCATTTTGTTTTTGTTTGATTAATATAAGTACACTATAGCACGTTTACATCATCGTCGAACAGAGATCTTTCACCTCTGCTTTAGTTATGTCATTGTTCCATTTATCTCGATTTACTCTTCTGTTACCATAACCTAACTTTCTTTTTAGGGACTATTTGGGATTATTATTATACTCCCATTCTTTACGTTATTGTTATCATAATTTCTTTTATTATCTTTACTTTGATGTCATTGAAAATCGAACAGAGTATTATACTTGATCTTTATGGAACATAAAGTTAAAACAAAATTTTCTAGTTGATTTTGGGATTAAGATAAAATTAGGTATTTTTAACCAATCATTGACGAATTCTGTACAAATGTTTAGGGTACAATTTGAAGGAGGAATTATTCGTCAATGAACGACCATAAACGTTACCTTCAATGTTCAGTGTCAATTTCGTGATACCTCAACCAAGTATTCGATATAGGAATTTTATTCAGTGCTGCCCACTAGGAAATATTCCATAGTATATTTTATATTTCAAGTGTTCTTAGATACTATAACACTTACAAAATTATGAAATATATACGTAATTAATGAAAATTAATTTTAGAAGAGTTTTACTCTGTACTCTAATTAGAGAGACAAAGTTCGCCTAATTTCCTCACCGCTAGACATAACCTAACTTTTATTTATACGATCAAAATCATATCTTTCATTATAAACTACCACCAAGTAGTATAATACAATTAATGATACATAAATAATCATCAGAATCTCCCGATTCCCTCAAAAATAACGAAAATAACAAAAATTTTTAACCTAACCTTAAAGCTGCGCTATAATCGAAGCTACCCGATTAATTCTCACTTGGTTCGTAATTTTAATTGCAAATGAGGCAAAAAAGTGTTCGGAATCGATGATTCAGAAGCAGAATCGTTGAGGTAATACGTTATACTTCGTTACGCGAACGAGTCATCGTGAATTATCAAACTTGCATCGAGCGATCGTGTAACCGCGTGTAATCCAGACCGGATTATTCGTCCTCTTTACACCGCGTTAAGATCGGGGTCCGTGGACGTGTAGCAAGTGTGGCGGGTGTCGTGTGTCAACCACACGGAAGTCTGGGCTCGATGGACGCGAAATGTGGATCGACGAGTGGCAGGCAAATGGTTGGTCGGCTGGTAAAATCGGGCGAAAGCTCTCTCCGCGGCTTATCGATGTTAAATCCGATATACATTACCGGACAAAAGTATCGGGATATTTACTGATACCTAGCAGGAAGCGATATATCGATATTAAATTCATCGTTTTATTTCTCGATTATTTTCACCAATTTTGGTGCCAGTGACAAATTAATATTGAAAATTAATAGCGACGTACTGATAAGTTATTGAAGATTTATTAATGATTAATGATGGATTATTGATTCCTATAGATTATCGGAATTTCTATAATTCTCGTAGAATCGTTGGTAATTTATTGATAAATATTAATCATTTTTAGAGGTGTTTCGATAATTCATCGATCATTGGAGATTTATTCATAATTGTTGGTAGTATTATACATTTATAAGTTATTCGGAAGTGTTGGTAATTCATTGGTGTGTACTGGTGATTTATGGATAAGTCTGATCATTTATGGATAAATATTGGCAATTTACAGAAGATTATTGGTAATTTATTCATTACTACTTCTGTCTATTTGTAATTTATTAATCAGCAATAACTGCCAATAGGTATTGATAATTCAATATCTCCTAACAATTTATCAATATTTATCAATAATTTAATTAACAATTGCGTAGTATATTATAGAATTTATGGC